TGAAGATGCTTTTTGAAACTTTCCTGGGCGTGGCGGCGTGACCCTCCAGGTCGATTATTTCTCCTGATCCTCTCTTGAGTCCATTTTTTTCTTTGCTGACGTGATTCTGCTGATTGTTGTAAACGTTGACCACAGCAGGAGGCGCCGCGTTCACGTCCTTCATGTCGTACGGCTTCCTGTTGACCGAGCACTTCCCCGTGTTTGGAGGATTAAATGAAGAGGATAAAGGTTTCCCGGGTGCAGAGTTTGCAGAGACCGTGGTCCGTGTGTCTTTTATCACAGACTCATTCTCCTGCTGAGAGACGAGCCTCAGCTTGAGCTCCTTGGTCCCGTTGACAGTCCTGACCTCCACAAGCTCCACCAAACAGTCTGCAGGGATGTTGACCTCCTCTGGGAGGGGCACAGTGAGAGCCCTGCTCTGCTGAATGAGTCCGTTGAGAGGGGGGAGGAGTTCTGTCTTACTGTTCATGACACTGGATGTCTTGTGGTCCAGAGTTCTCCCCCTTTGCTCGTCCGGTCTGACAGCAGGTGCACTCGGTCTGGGCACCGTGACCCTGACAGCAGGTCGTAGGGATGATGTCACAGCAGTGGGCACACCTGGTAAGGCACTGGAGAGCGGAGCATGTGGACTCTTTGTGGAGCCAGGTTTAGCAGCTCCTTGACTAAGACTCTTACTGTGCAGACGCTCGATGTGCTTGACCAGGCACAGCCTCCTCATGTAGCCCTGACCGCAGTGAGGACACTGGAACTGATACTTTACGGTGTGAAGCTTCACATGAGCCGTCAGCTCGGCCTCGCTGAACGACACGTTGTTGCAGTAAAAACAGTAAAACCTCATCCCCATGTGCTCGATCCTGTGCTTCTTGAAGACAGCAGGGTCCGTCGTAGCAAATCCACATTTGTCACAGTACATGACGTTAGAAGTTGTTAAAGCCAAACTGGAGTGTCCCACTTTCACCGGCGGTGGCGTACTTTGATAGCTGGTGGGCTTCATGTCGTCAAGCGGTGTCTGCTGGTCACAAGCCAGTCGCTCCACAACTCTCCAACGCTGCAGCTACACATTGGAGGAAGCGTCCATAACGAGCTGGGCGTCCGGGGCTCGTCCCCTCAGAGACGGACTGTGAGGTCAGAGAGGGTGACTTCCTCCTGCGGAAAGCATGAGACAAAAAAAACACAGTTTAGTCTTTTCATCTAAAAAGTCTGTTGTGTCACATTGAGCAGTGCGACTGATAAACCGGTATATGATGCTGACACACCATCATCCACCGCTACGCGATTTAAAACCTGCCCTCGATCGTTTTGTAATGTTATACTGGGATACAAAGGGATGCAGACCAGGCGAGCAACGCCCCTTTTTACCATCTGTTCTCCGTCTTGAAGAACTGGGAGACAGAAAGAGAGACTCATGGGCTGTCAATGTAGAAGGATAAAAGTGCACGTTGTGGATTTTTCTGAACCCCTAACCCCCAAAACAGAATGCGTTTTATATTCCAGATTTTACTGTAAAGTCCTCCTGTGTGTCTTTTATGACGTTCACACAGCAGAACCTCCTGAAGTGTTCTCACTCTGAGCGTCATGTGATCACTCAAACATCTGAATGTTTCTCTCTTCACCTCTGAGCGTCATGTGATCACTCAAACATCTGAATGTTTCTCCTCCAGCCTCCTCGTGTTTATTCTGCAGAAAGTCAGAGTGAGCTGATGTGAGAACACAGCAGGATATAATCAGGAGAATTCACCTGGAGCCAGTGGGAGGGGCCAGTGGGAGGGGCCAGTGGGAGGGGCCAGTGGGAGGGGGTGGTGACCTTCATTCCCTGTGGTCACTGCACGACCATAGACTGTCTGCACGCCACCTCTACCATCTCTGTGCTCTAATCAACCTGCTGCTGCATGTTTCCTGTTCTCCAGGATGTTCTTCTCCTCTCTTTACTTCACACTGAGATTCTGTTCAACTACACGTAGCATTGATACAAACACACATATTCTCATTATAGAGTCCTATGGAGGACTCTGCTGTCTGTTAATCCCCCCCCCAGGTGAAAGTCTCCTGCTGTGAGGTGCATGTGTGAACAACCACATCAAGAGGATAACATCCCGTCTGCTAGCCTTACAGTTAGAGACAATCTTTGATGTTTAACAGTATTAAAAACAGCCTCTGTGTGTGTGTGTGTGTGTGTGTGTGTGTGTGTGTGTGTGTGTGTGTGTGTGTGTGTGTGTGTGTGTGTCTCTGTGTGTCTGTCTGTGTGTCTCTCTGTGTGTCTCTGTGTGTGTCTCTCTGTGTGTCTCTCTGTGTGTCTCTCTGTGTGTCTCTGTGTGTGTCTCTCTGTGTGTGTGTCTGTCTCTCTGTGTGTCTCTCTGTGTGTGTGTCTCTGTGTGTCTCTCTGTGTGTGTGTCTCTCTGTGTCTCTCTGTGTGTGTGTCTCTGTGTGTCTCTCTGTGTGTCTGTCTGTGTGTCTCTCTGTGTGTCTCTGTGTGTCTCTCTGTGTGTCTCTGTGTGTCTCTCTGTGTGTGTGTCTCTCTGTGTCTCTCTGTGTGTGTGTCTCTCTGTGTGTCTCTCTGTGTGTCTGTCTGTGTGTCTCTCTGTGTGTCTCTCTGTGTGTCTCTCTGTGTGTCTGTCTGTGTGTCTCTCTGTGTGTCTGTCTGTGTGTCTCTCTGTGTGTGTGTGTGTTGGAGGGGCCCCCAGAGCCCTGACAGACTTTGTAATCGGCCCTGGTTAGAGAGCTGACATTCATCAAGGGCCCCTAAAGATCCTCCTTCCCCTCATAACACATTCTAACGGTTAGTTAAGACCCCCGGTTAACTAATTCAGATGTAGTCAGTACTGTGTGATCCTGTAGTCCGGGATGTGATCCTGTAGTCCGGGTTGTGATCCTGTGGTCCGGGATGTGATCCTGTGGTCCGGGATGTGATCCTGTGGTCCGGGATGTGATCCTGTAGTCCGGGATGTGATCCTGTAGTCCGGGATGTGATCCTGTAGTCCGGGTTGTGATCCTGTAGTCCGGGATGTGATCCTGTAGTCCGGGATGTGATCCTGTAGTCCGGGATGTGATCCTGTAGTCCGGGATGTGATCCTGTGGTCCGGGATGTGATCCTGTGGTCCGGGATGTGATCCTGTAGTCCGGGTTGTGATCCTGTAGTCCGGGATGTGATCCTGTAGTCCGGGTTGTGATCCTGTAGTCCGGGATGTGATCCTGTAGTCCGGGATGTGATCCTGTAGTCCGGGATGTGATCCTGTAGTCCGGGATGTGATCCTGTGGTCCGGGATGTGATCCTGTGGTCCGGGATGTGATCCTGTAGTCCGGGATGTGATCCTGTGGTCCGGGATGTGATCCTGTAGTCCGGGATGTGATCCTGTAGTCCGGGTTGTGATCCTGTAGTCCGGGTTGTGATCCTGTAGTCCGGGTTGTGATCCTGTAGTCCGGGATGTGTTCCTGTAGTCCGGATGTGATCCTGTGGTCCGGGATGTGATCCTGTGGTCCGGGATGTGATCCTGTGGTCCGGGATGTGATCCTGTAGTCGGGATGTGATCCTGTAGTCCGGATGTGATCCTGTAGTCCGGGATGTGATCTGTAGTCCGGGTTGTGATCCTGTAGTCCGGGATGTGATCCTGTAGTCCGGGATGTGATCCTGTAGTCCGGGATGTGATCCTGTAGTCCGGGTTGTGTTCCTGTAGTCCGGGATGTGATCCTGTAGTCCGGGATGTGATCCTGTAGTCCGGGATGTGATCCTGTAGTCCGGGATGTGATCCTGTAGTCCGGGATGTGATCCTGTAGTCCGGGATGTGATCCTGTAGTCCGGGATGTGATCCTGTAGTCCGGGATGTGATCCTGTAGTCCGGGTTGTGATCCTGTAGTCCGGGTTGTGATCCTGTAGTCCGGGTTGTGATCCTGTAGTCCGGGATGTGTTCCTGTAGTCCGGGATGTGATCCTGTGGTCCGGGATGTGATCCTGTGGTCCGGGATGTGATCCTGTGGTCCGGGATGTGATCCTGTAGTCCGGGATGTGATCCTGTAGTCCGGGATGTGATCCTGTAGTCCGGGATGTGATCCTGTAGTCCGGGTTGTGATCCTGTAGTCCGGGATGTGATCCTGTAGTCCGGGATGTGATCCTGTAGTCGGATGTGATCCTGTAGTCGGGTTGTGTTCCTGTAGTCCGGGATGTGATCCTGTAGTCCGGGATGTGATCCTGTAGTCCGGGATGTGATCCTGTAGTCGGGATGTGATCTGTAGTCCGGGTTGTGTTCCTGTAGTCCGGGATGTGATCCTGTAGTCCGGGATGTGATCCTGTAGTCCGGGATGTGATCCTGTAGTCGGATGTGTTCCTGTAGTCCGGGATGTGATCCTGTAGTCCGGGATGTGATCCTGTAGTCCGGGATGTGATCCTGTAGTCCGGGATGTGATCCTGTAGTCCGGGATGTGATCCTGTAGTCCGGGATGTGATCCTGTAGTCCGGGATGTGATCCTGTAGTCCGGGATGTGATCCTGTAGTCCGGGATGTGATCCTGTAGTCCGGGATGTGATCCTGTAGTCCGGGATGTGATCCTGTAGTCCGGGATGTGATCCTGTAGTCCGGGATGTGTTCCGTTAGATTTAAGGGGAAAAGGCCACAACGAGCGGAGAGAGAGAGAGAGAGAGAGAGAGAGAGAGGAGACGGGGGAGAGAGGGGGGGAGACGGGGAGAGACGGGTTACCCTAACACAACAGACTGAGTCAGACTCACGTACCGTCTTCAGGACGGGGCAGCAGCTTTTGAAGTCTGTAAATCCTTTTTGAACTGAACGCTGTTTGCACGGTCAGCCGAGCCGAGCTTACTGTTAGCAATCTGCAGCTAGCTACAACGACCCGTGAAAAGGCTGCTGTCGCCTTCAAAATAAGAACCTGCTCTGTTAGTTCTCCCTCTTTGTCGATTAAACTCTGTCTATTTATTGTGAATACAGTCATTATGTATCTATTGTTTACGTTAAACTGGTCTGGTATTGGTAGTGGTAGCTACACAACATGACTCGTGTATGTTTTCAAGAGTTAGGTCTTAATCTGAAAGTCTTAACCGGAAGCTTGAATTTTTCTATTTATTTTTATTTTGACACGCTCAACAGTGACCGCCCACTTTTTCAGCAGCTCTGGTACCGGAAGTGAATTTACGGTTCAATGCTTTACAGAAAGTCGTTAAATCAGAACTTTTAATCCTGGAAACAAACCAACCCACGACCAAAACACTCGTGACTGTGGAACAGCTGACTCAGCACGAAGACGACTTCTTAAAACAAGAAAAAAGGCAAAGGTACAAGACTGTGAAGTGAAGGAACTACACATCCCACAATGCATTGCTATTCAAACAAACTGTAGTTTTAGTGAACTTGTCTCTTAACGTACACGGACCTTCTTTGTGTTCGTGTTTATAACGTTATTAATAATGTTGGAGTTTATTTTTTATATTATCTTGAACTTTGATCTTTAGTGGAAGCCGCCGAGAGCTAGCTCGCGGGGACAGTACGCATTTCCATGGTAACAGCGAACTCCACCAACCAGAGACGTCGCTGTGAAACTAGGATTGTGGGTAGTGTAGTTCTTTTTTTTAAGACCAGAAATCGTGAATAAACCGTGTTTTTCTTAAAACGAGATTGATATTTCACGAACTTGTGTCAACACGAGCATACACCATAGTGTCACGCTCACGTAGCTTTAGATGGTTATGACGTCATGGCTAATAATCAAATCCACCATGGAGAAAAACAACGGGGGTCTTCCTCCTGGGGTTACACTGCGTGGAGCAAGAACACGAGGAAATCTCATATTTCATGTGATTGTTGTTGATTTGTTCGAACAAAATGACAAACCACTTTGAAACGTGTGAGTGTAGCTCGGTTAGAAACACACTCCATTATTAGCACGAGTGGAAAGTCAGTGGGTCATTTAGACACCCACGCTGGTGTTAGTGGGCTGTGAGTTCACCCAGTGACACAGGAAGTGGTTTACAGCTTTAGTATTTGGTTAATGAAGTTTAACCCAAGCACAGGTGAGCACCGCCTGACAGGCTGGAAAGAGACCGAGGTGTGTAATGTCGTAAAGAGATGAAAACATGCTGTTCACACGGATCTGCAGGCTGCTTCATGCTGTAGCAGCATCACAGGCTTCATCCAGGTGAGGAACACAAACTGCTGAACAGCTCACATTATTGTCAACATGTCAACATTTTAACACCTTTAAATTCTTGAGTCCTTTTCGCTGCTCTCGTCCACCTGTTATTGTAACCGCCATACTGTAGCTGTGTGAGGATCACCATAACTATTGTGAAAACAGTTTCTGGGATTTGCACACCATTGTTGCAATTCACAATGACACAGCATTGGCTTTCACTTGACCCTCCCATTCGCCGTTTGTCGGACACACACGCCTGCATGCGAGCTTCCTGGTTATGGCAGTATTAAGCCAAGCCTCCTGCTGTCTGATCCGCAGAAAGCAACTTTTCTCGTCTTTTCGCAGACACGCAGTGATCCGCAGAAGCATGGCTTCAGGCCCCACTTCCACAGAAACCACTCGGTTCGACTTCCTGGTGATCGGCGGGGGGTCTGGAGGTCTGGCCGGGGCTCGGAGGGCGTCGGAGCTCGGTGCAGCCACCGCAGTCATCGAGAGTCACAAACTCGGAGGTACCTGCGTGAGTAAAACTACACCCCCGTCCACCACTCCCCCCGTTATCCTCCCGACCCCCCCACCCCACTCCCCCCGTTATCCTCCCGACCCCCCCCCACTCCCCCGTTATCCTCCGACCCCCCACCCCCCCCCCCCCCCCCCCCCCCGTCATCCTCCCGACCTCTGTCACCGTCCTGTCCTCTCTGCAGCCTCATCACGCATGTCGGTGTCCAGGTTCACTGCGAAGCCTCCGGACTCCTTTTGTGGACCGGTTCTTTTTTGTGTGTGTACAACAAACGTTGGAAATGTAGAGCGTCTGTGCGGATGTGCACAGCTGTGATGGACAGGTGTTACCCTCACCTTCTATACTTTAAACCTTCAGTAGGATGTTGTTTTAGAAGTTTAAAATGATCAGTGATGTTAACAGGCGGGCACAGAACTGTTGTTAGAAATGAGGAAGTAAGAATAAAGTTACAAAATGATCCAGATTTATTCACTAATGATTGAATGATTATTTAGCTCAACACAGCTGTTATAGTGATTCTCAACATGTGGGTCGGGACCCTAAAGAGGGTCGCGGAGCAGTTTTTACTGGGTCGAGAGAGAGAGAGAGAGAGCTTAGGGGACTGTAGCCTCTGTACATGGGGCGTGCAAACTAACCGCTGGTGCCCCGTCACATTCTTTGTACTGTCTGAGGTCCAAATGTGAACAATCCTTTATTTGTAGTTCAATAACTCTTGAGTGGTTGATAAATATTTAGAGTTTTTATCGGGTCCTGAGGATGGTAACGAGCTGACCCCGGCGATGTCCCATCAGGCTACACCTGAAGACCAGGAGGGTCCATGTGGTCAAGCAGGAAGTATTGTGTTGTCACTTCCTGGTTAGTTCACATGAACACAGCGTGGGTGTTGAAAGTTGCAGCGCTGGTTTGACTACAAGGTAGATTGTGTAAGATAAGACATAAGAATGTTTCTTCTGTCTGAGACGATTATCAGAAGTTTGCAGCTTTCCTCTGTTACTCTTCTGACCTCTGAGGCCTTTGCTCTCTAACTTGAGCCGTGCTTGAATCTGATTGGTCCAGCTTTCATTCAGCTGATGTGCTCTGTGTGTGTGTGTTTCTCTTTAGGTCAATGTCGGCTGTGTCCCCAAGAAGGTACCGTCTTCTTTTGTTTCCGTTTCTGAGAGTCGTCATGGTGTCACATTCCGCCCGTGTCTGACCCGTGTCTGACCCGTGTCTCTCCTCGCAGGTCATGTGGAACGCTGCGGTGCACGCCGAGTATCTCCACGATCACGCTGATTACGGCTATGACGTGGAGAGTGTGCGCTTCAGCTGGGAGTAAGTATCACCAGCAGAGTGTGAAACCTGACACTGAATGAAGACTGAGCCGGATCACTGCCTCGTCTATAGTCCCTCCTCCACCTTCAGTCCCTCCTCCACCTTCAGCCCCTCCTCCACCTTCAGTCCTCCTCTCACCTTCAGCTCCTCCACCTTCAGTCCTCCTCCACCTTCAGCCCCTCCTCCACCTTCAGCCCCTCCTCCACCTTCAGTCCCTCCTCCACCTTCAGCCTCCTCCACTTCAGTCCCTCCTCCACTTCAGCCCCTCCACTTCAGTCCCTCCTCCACCTTCAGCCCTCTCCACTTCAGTCCCTCCTCCACCTTCAGCCCTCCTCCACTTCAGTCCTCCTCCACCTTCAGTCCCTCCTCCACCTTCAGCCCTCCTCCACTTCAGCCTCTTCTCCTCCGTCCGCCTCGTCTTTAGTCCCTCCTCCACCTTCAGTCCTCCTCCACCTTCAGTCCCTCCTCCACCTTCAGTCCCTCCTCCACCTTCAGCCCCTCCTCCACCTTCAGCCCTCTTCTCCTCCGTCTCCCTCGTCTTTAGTCCCTCCTCCACCTTCAGCCTCCTCCACCTTCAGTCCCTCCTCCACCTTCAGCCCTCTTCTCCTCCGTCCGCCTCGTCTTTAGTTCCTCCTCCACCTTCAGTCCCTCCTCCCTTCAGTCCCTCCTCCACTTCAGCCCTCCTC